CCATTTGAAGCAACATTAAGTAAACTATTCCTTTACTAAAGGGTTGCAAACAACTTAAATGAGCCCCAACAGAGGGAGGGTGAGCGGGATGAGCTTGTTTTTATTAACTATCAACTGGCACAGTTATTTCTTCTTTTATAGCCCATCTTGAAGACACACGGAGGACCATTACCAAAAGACATCCACAAGGTGAAGACCATTGTACATCGGGTAAGTAAACAACTTCAAAGAGGGCAAGTTGGGCCAAAAAAAAAATCTGGAATTTGGCACATTCCCAAGGGTGGGGGCACTACATTTTTGCTTGTGCTCCCCACTTTTTTTTTCTTCCACTAAAACCCAAAAGCTCTATGCTAGAATACTAATCATTTTTATTGCTTTGATTATTAAATTAGCCAGCATGCTGTTTTACTATTGCTACCAATACATCGATAAAGGAAATTTGTAGAAATAAAATTTATTTGCAAAGTTAGTAAGCTTATCCAATATTTTTTTTGTTTACATTTGATGTATTTCCTACTAGGTAATTGTTTTTTAACTTTTTTTTATGTAATTGGTAGATACATACTATGTTAATCCATGTGCACTTTAGATTAGTGAAAAAATGCAATGTAATTTTTTGTTCCATCCATCAACCCACCCAACTTGCACAAACAAAGGTGTAATATTTTCACACTCCTTTTATTAGTTTATGATACAGAACTGTATGAAATATGTGACCAGCCTAACCATGAGACAGCAGTAAAGTTATGCAGGAATTGACGTGAACCAGCTCAGCAATGTTTTCTTTTGTTCTGAAACTAGCATTTCAGGTTTTTATGGATCGAGAAATACCTTCTAGAAAACACGTATTTGTCTGTTGATCACAGCACTGGACAGAAACGGGTAAGCGTCAATGCTGCTATGTTTTGATAGCCAAGTACTACACATAGTAAGCATATGCAGCTTATAACAAAAAAACACAAAACTAGAACCTTTGATCTTCATGTACCTGGTTATCTGTAACCTTCTACATGTATGTGACTGATAGGCATAATCTGCCATTGCAAGCTTCCTCCTGAAAATGCTAGTTGACTGGCTACTTCTGGCCTTGTTCTTTTTAGTCAAACCCCTGGAACAAGCATGTGGGAAACTAGAGTTAAGTCAGGACTGTAGTCTGCATGCTCTTCATGTTTTCTGAAGAGGATTAGTCAGACAGCTAGGCTTTCAGGACAGTCCTCCTTTAAGTTAGCATTACAGAATAGACCTTATTTAACATTAACTATTGATCTTACTGCAGCAGCCAGATCTGACTCCGATGCCCGTTCATATACTTTGTAGATGTGGTTACAATATTGGGGAAACTACAACTTTAAAGTGAACCTGTCGTGACCTATTGGTGCTGATCTCCTTCTTACTTACAGTTGCCTGGCTGTCATGCAGATGTGCATTGGCTTCCATACTTTGAGCTACTAACATAGAACAAGTATGCTGATCAGGAGTTCTAAGTTCACTCTAACTTGGTTACACGCTTGTTACAAGTCAGTGACGCAGAAAAAGGTAGCCAGCCAACTAGCTTTTTAGGAAGGAGATCAGCAAAGTCTTCCTTCTATTTTTCTCATTTACAGGATTTCTTTAATGTCTGTTATCCTATAGAGAATATACTGTATCATCTCAAGGTGTGCACTTGCTCAGGCACTGGCCAATGATATTGGCTGTACTGAGAGACTATGCAGGCTGACATATCATATCCTAGTTCCCTAGCTGTCATGCTAAACCATAGGCAGGGCCGGATTTCCATTTCGGGCGCCTGTAGGCACGAATGGAAATCTGTTTAGCCTGAGCCGGGGCCCTTACCTGCTGCGGGACCCACCAGCTTTTACATATGCAGAGAAGGAACCCCTGCAGTGGGTAATGCTGCCCTAAACACCTGTCTCCAGGGTAGCCTTACGCAGCGCTGTGGTCCTTCCCCCTGCATTTGCAGAAGCTGGCGGTTCCTGTAGGCGGTGGCGCCACTGGTCTTGGAGCAGGAGGGGGCATTTTGTTGCGAATGCACCCTCCTAGCCGTTGCTAGTGTTGTATCTTGACACAATACCAGGAATTGGGCAGAGATGGTACCTGCACGGCGCCCCTCTATGGAGGGCACCTGTAGGCACTACTCTGGCCAATAGTACATCTGGCCTTGACCATGGGCAGCTATAGTTGGGGTGAAACTACAAATCCCATCATCAGTCAAGTCTGTGGCTGTCAGTTTTGCTATGGTTTATGGGACTTGTAATTCCACAAGAGCTGCAGCAGGGCTGAAGTTTGGATATGTGCTAAAGCCACAAAGGCTTTAGTACTTAGAAGTACAGATATGGAACATGTATGCAGAACAGAAGTTCCAAGTTCACATTCACTTTCTAATCTGCATGCTTAGTCCAAGTCAGTGATTCCCAGTATTGAATTTGAAGAAAGGCAGACAACTAGTATTTTTCACTTTACACAACTTTGGTCTTCTCTGATGGAGCTGAATTGACTTGTATGACATAAGGGTATATTGCTAGGCTAGTTTCCTGAAGGAGTTGGAAATCTTCACTACAAAATTGTTCGACTGTTCACTTCAATTATCTGATTAAGTAAAAAGCAAATTCCTGTTCACTTTGAATACCCAATCGTGTGCAAATGCTTTTCACATGGTTGGATAACTGAAATCAATATTCACACAATTTTTTATTAAAAGATCTATTTAGCCATTTTCAACTCCTTGTCTTGCAGAGATGAGGCAGTTTGCCTTGTTTCGGAATTCCTAAGTTCAGTTTACAACACCGCGATGCATCTTATGGAGCGAATACCTATTGCCCGACACCCGGGACATGCAGTTTCGGGCGCCGGGCGAGTAGTTTCTTTTTGTACATTCAGCCCTGCTCCTGACAAGCAGAGCTGAATGTACAGTGGGAGCCGCTGTTCGTTTAATACAAGCGATCTAAGTAGATCCCTTGTATTAAATCGAGCGGCGGCGGCATCGGCGATAGTGTCCGCCCGGCCGAGGTTTTCTGGGTCCCCCGTTCCTCTGCGGGACTGTGACCCGTCACGATCCCCCATAGGAGCTCACCATAGAGCCCATTGAGCAGATGAACGTCGTTCTTCGTCAGCCGTGATGTCACGGCTGGCTCCGTCCAGTTGTTACTGTTTAATGACAGATCAGCGTCCCCTGGATCCTTTTGGCTCTTTAGTGAACAACCCCCTTGGAAAATCAGCCCTAATGTGTCTTAATAACTTTAGTCTGCAGTGCAAGATTTGCAAAACCTATTTGGTAAATACATGGATGAAGTCAGTGCACAAAAAACTTTCTTCCTGTAAGGGAGTAGCCTGTATTGCTACATTTGCACTGATTTCTCAATAGTAATTGTTTGCTTATAAAGATACAGTAGATAGTTAGACATGAGTTGCTTGAGTAGTACTTTCTAAACCAGGCGTAGGCAACCTTGACACTGCAGCTGTGGAGAACTACAAATTCCATAATACCTCTGTCTCTGAGAGTCATGCCTTTTGTTCAGTCTTGCAATCCATCATGGGACTTGTAGCTCCACAACAGCTGGAGTGTTGAGCTTTGCAAGCAGAAAAAATACCCAATTATGTGCAAGGAAAGTTAAAGGAAAAAAGACAGGATTTTTGATTGCACGTGATTGGATGGTGGACACAGACTCCCCTTATTCACTAAGCTAAGGGAAAATTCACCTTGCAAAGTGAACATGCTTTACTGTTTAGTAAATTATAACAATAACTATAATAGAGGATATACAGTATATAGCACCAACAGTTTGTGCAGAGCTTTACATTATAAGGAAGACATTACAGTTACAATACAATTCAAGACAAGATTGTAAGGGGCAGTGGCGGACTTAATAACCAAAGGGCCCTGGTGCAAGATGCTATCTTGGGCCCCCCTTCTAAGACGAGGGGGGGGTGGCGCGGGAGCGGATCACACTGCCCCCCTCAGCGGTCTCTAATGTTGCAGTAGCGTGCTGGACTTACCTGAGACCCTGCAGAGCACACCATAGATCCTGCATAGCCCACCTGAGACACTCTATGGTGGGCTCTGCAGGGTCCCAGGTGGTCTGGTTGTTCAGATCCCTTTCCCTGTAACACCTCCCAAGTCTTCTTACCTGCTGCTGCTGGGGCCCGGCCTCCTCCACCCCCTCCCCTGTCACCTCTGCCATGCCGCCCCGGTACAGTTGATACCGGTGACATGGTCACACGTTTTAACATAATCCCGCCCATTTTTTCGGCGGTGGAATGTGTGACCGCCAATAGGTGAAGCATTCCAACGCTTTCTCCGCTGTTCCAGGGCAGATCGGCAACGCAAATCGCATGTGCAGGAGAACCAATCTGCCTTGAAACCGCTGATCGGTCCTGAAATGTCACTTCTATCCGACTTTGTGAGTGAGGTGGAATGTGAGATCACAGTCGGAGAGAAGTGAAATTTCAGGACCGATCAGCTATTTCAAGGCAGTCCCCCCCCCCCCCCCCCCCACAGCCACACCCCCCGGCTGCCCCGGCGGTAGTTCCGCCACTGGTAAGGAGGGCCCTGCCTGTGAGAACTTACAATTTAAAAGGGAGAGACAAGTGGTACAAAAGGTGGTAGCTGTGTGGGGATGAGTTGTTTGAGAAAGTATTAGTTCAGTTGGTAGCCAGATAGCCAGACAGGTTGGGGTATGGAGTTCAGAAGATGGGAAAGTCTAGAGAATTTCTGGAGGTGAGCATGGCAGGAGTTGATGAGGGCACTAGAGAGCAGGAGGTCTCAGGAGAGGATGGTTTAGGTGAAACTTTGAGAGGAGGTTGGAGATATAGTTGGGGGCACTGTTGTGGATTGTTTTGTATGTGGTTTAATATCTTGAATTGTATTCTTTGGCAGTTGGAGTGAATGGCATAGATTGCATAATGTTACATCTATATTTCGCTGTGCTAGATCTAGTAGCAGATTAAGCTTACACTGACACATTAACAGGCTATTATTTCTATTTTTCATAGTTAAGTCTATTGCTGTAGTCCTAAAATGGATGTGAAGCGCATCAAGGATTACCTCTCCTGGCTGTACTACCAGTATCTGCTCATAACCTGCAGCTATGTCCTAGAACCCTGGGAAAAGTCCATTTTCAACACCGTCTTACTGACCGCCATTGCCATGGTGATATACAGTTCCTACGTATTCATTCCCATCCATGTTCGTCTGGCTATGGAATTTTTTTGGGGGATCTGTGGAGGGCAGCATGAAAGTACTGTAGCATTGATGAGCTGACATATACTCAATCTTTCTTACTCAACACGCCTCCTTAATTGTGCACTTTCCTATGCTTCCAAAACGGATTGACAAGAATTGGATTGCATGGCGTTTGAGCTGTGGCGAAGACTCTGCTGCTCTTCCCATTGTTTTCTCCAGTGGACTCTGAAAATATGTTAAACGCAAATCTTAGCTGCATTAAATACTTGTACCCACCTATGTATGTAGGTTTGATGCCTATGTGAAAATGGCATACATATTTATTTTTTTTCTTTTCTCTCGGAGCGCCGCACACCGAGCAGCAGTGACGCGACGCTCGGCGAGGTAAGTAAGAAGACGCGCTGGCGCTGACTCGAGTATAAGCCGAGGGGGGCACTTTTCACCCAAAAAAATGGGCTGAAAATCTCGGCTTATACTCGAGTATATACGGTATATTTTGCATGTGCTTCTGGCTTATGTAAATTAAATTGATCCGTTTTGATTTGGATGGTGCTGACCTTCCTTTTTATGTTTTCATTCATCAGACCTATCGCATTACTTTTAAGCATAATATCCTTTTGATTAAAATTTAAATGAACTGGAAACATTTGCAGTTTTTAAAAAAATACCGTAGTTATGTTCAATGTCTAGCAATAAATCTAATTTTATGTATTCTCTATTCATGCGGTCAAGAAACAACAGGTTGAGTATTTCATTTTTTTTTTCTTTGTTAACCAAATCCGAAGCTGTCCAAAGTTTTTATTCTAGACCCCACAGACTTGAGGTTCTGGAATAATAGGGAGTGGTCATTTTTGAAGATTTTAAAACTCCTGTGATGGCTGTAGGGGAAAAGTGCATTAATGGGAGAAAAAAAATCCAGTCCTTTTTCAAAACTTAATATTTGCTATTTGCAAAGATTGTGTGTGGTGTTTTTTTTGTTTTGTTCTCATGGTCTTACCTGGACCATCATCTAGCAATATGGTAGGGATTCTGTAATGGTCAAACAGTGATATCCTTTAGCATACATCCTGTTTTAAAGCAATGAAAACTGTAAAAACTACAAAAGATGCAATAAAAACCCACAGGGCTAGCAGGTGACGCAGAGAAGACGCTGTAAAACACCACCCAGCTCCTAAACACACTTGTTTACATGTGAATCCCAGGTATGTGAGCATGATGATACAATATCATATAATACAGAGGCTTGTAATCTTTTCACTATTTCCTGATGTCTGCATAGCAAACCTTTTTATATTCTGTAACTGGTTTTACTTGACAGCGTTCATCAGGATCAACCTGAATTGTGTGTGATTGTTTAACTTATATATTGCAGAATTTTATGAATAAATCTTGCATACATAAAATAAAATACCGTAAAAAATACCCGTATTTTGCGGTCTATAAGACGATCTGGACGATAGGACGCATGGCTTCTGTGACAGAAATTCTATGACAGAAATTCTGTCACAGAAGCTGCAGTTAGTGACTGCTGAGACAGGTGGCGCTGTCTCAGTAATCACACAGAGCAGACGAAGAACGTCGTTCTTCGTCTGCTCAATGGGCTCTATGGTGAGCTCCTATGGGGGATCGTGACGGGTCACAGTCCCGCAGAGGAACGGGGGACCCAGAAAACCTCGGGCGGACACTATCGCCGATGCCGCTCGATTTAATACAAGGGATCTACTTAGATCGCTTGTATTAAACGAACAGCGGCTCCCACTGTACATTCAGCTCTGCTTGTCAGGAGCAGGGCTGAATGTACAAAAAGAAACTACTCGCCCGGCGCCCGAAACTGCATGTCCCGGGTGTCGGGCGATAGGTATTCGCTCCATAAGACGCAGGCACATTTTCCCCCTCCTTTTGGGGGGAAAAAAGTGCGTCTTTATGGAGCGAAAAATACGTTACATGCTGCACTCCATGTACCTTCTTGTTATTGTTTTTAAATGTTTAGCATAGTTCAGGTTTTGTTGCATAACCACCCACTAACGATTAACTCTGTCCTATGTCGTACATGTTACAAAGCTGAGAGTACATGACTGCCACTAGATGAAACTGAGGAGAATAGGAAATTCCATCTTGTGGCAGTTATGTGCTGTGACAGTCCTACAGGTATGATGTAGGAGAGGGTTAGTAGGGGGCTACTTGCCTTTTCCTCTTTAAGAATAGCATTATAAATCAGCCCCATAAAGTATAACTAAATCCAAGAAGAAAAATTTAATATATTGCAGCTTACCAGTCCTTGGTGGCTGCGTTTTTAGTGTTTCCTTTTTTTTTTTTTCTCCAAGCTATCTACATTTTAGGCAAGTACAAAAAATACATGTTGATCTTGCCTGAAATAAGTGTCCTTGTTTTGGTTTTCCTTGTTTAAGGAAAACCAAATTAAAATATGCTAAATGCCAACGTTCCCATTACATGCTGGTGCCGTTTGAACAATATGGGAATGCTGTTTTCTATTTTCTAGACTTGTCCTAATATCTGGAACTGTCCTAAAATCTGCAATGTCTGTTACCTATTGACCCAGCTACTTATCTACCTCCCCCGGCCATGCGTCAACTTTTCAGAAGGTTTTGCATTTCCATTCTGACTTCAGCAAGCTGAAGTGGTATTGTCTAAGCTGAATATGAGACCTGTCTCTGGATGATATCAGTTAAGTCAATTGGTCCGTCTGGTATTCCTGCATGTCTAAACAGAAGGAATTTTGACCTGAATATAGTGGATGAGTGTGGGTAATACTAGCATCAGTCTTTTTTCCCTTAATTTTTATAAATTATTTTGAGGTCCGTGTTCATCAGTATTATTGGCCCAGAGTTGGGACAAGTGGCCAGGTCTTTTCCTTTCTTAGGGATGATCATATAAGAATGGGCCATAGATTTGAGAATTGGGTGGTCCTTCAGGAATGTTTAGGCAACTGGTGCATGTGGGGTACTAGGAGATCTTTTGGAGGTTTATTAACATTGAAATATGAGACCTTCAGGTCCAAAAAATGTCTTACTGGGAGATTACGAATTACTTCAAGGATTTCCTTAGCTTTCCTCATCACAGAGTGTTGAGTGAGGTAAAGTCTGGTAATGTTAGTTTAGGTAGATTACACTGTGAGAGATCTGTATTATTCTTGGGTATTGGTATGCTCAGTATATGTTGAGTCAGTAAGGTTGTATAAGTTTGTGTAGAAACAGTGAAAGGGCTGTGCAATTTTTCTAGATCAGTGTGGCTCACCTTTTTTGATCTCTAGCCATATGGGCAGTCCTTGAAACCATTTCATCCCTCAATTTGAAGGCAAGTAGCATGTCTACATTACCTCACTCATAGAAACATTGTTTCAGTATAGCCAAAGAAAATCTCACCGCTCCAATTCCCTAGCCACCATCAGGACTCCCCAGGTGCTGGTCCAGTAGGTGTGCCTCCACCTTGGAATGCAGTAGTATACGAACAGACCGCATTATCCAGAGAATTCCAATACTTCAGAGTTTATTGAATTTCACAGCAAATCCAGTATAACAGTGAATAAAAGTGTATAAAGCAATAAATGCCAGCACTGCACACCCCCAACCAACTACAACCTCTCACATGTTGCACCCGTAGGCTTATTCATAGAGGTAGTTGGTTGGGGGGGGTGCAGTGCTGGCATTTGTTGCTTTATACACTTTTATTCGCTGTTATACTGGATTTGCTGTGAACTTCAATAAAGTCTGAAGTATTGGAATTCTCTGGATAGTGTGGTCTGTTCGTATACTATTGTTGCAGTATAGGTAGGTGTTTATCAACTGCCCCTAAGGATACTTATTTCAGTCGGGTGCTAGTTGTAATTATGTGATGAAGAGTAGAAACGGATGGAATGGTAGCCATATGAGTTTCCAGCTGAGCAACCTTTTTTTGCAAAGTGTTTTTGAAACACAATATTTCTATGAATGTGAGAAACTAGGAATATACAGTGTTCCCAAATTGCAGCTTTATGTGCTTCCCAGTAGGCAGCAAATTGTTCAGTGGGGCCCTTGTTTTCTGCAAAGTAGTACATGAGGCAGTCAAACAGTTGAAATATAGTGGAATCTTGCTTAAGAATAAGGGCCTTAAAGGACCAGTGGCATCTTTTTCAAAGACTGGGCATTTTAGGAAAAGCATATTTCGACCGGGGCATGGTCTGACCACACTATGCAATAACAGTTGCAGCAGTGAGTTTGAGCATAGGGTGGTAAAACTCAAAAATAGTCTTATAGTGTAGATATGGTGACGGGCAGAGAAAAAGGAGAAACATTATTTCTGTAGTGTGGTGTAATCTTCAGATGTTGTAGTGTGAAAACGTTCTAACAAGTTAACAATATTGTTCTGATTCTTTTTAAGTGTGAGGGATTGAAGAAGCTGCATATTGAAAGCACCTCCAATGACCGCATATGTAGTGTCAAGAGTGAATAGTTGCTGTAAGAACTTACAAAGAAAGTGAGTTGACAAGTGTTTAAGATGTAGATTTTGTAGAGGGTGACTGTGGATTGACCCTATGTACACTGTAGGATTAGGAACCAACCATGTTTATCAGCTATGGTTTTCACAGGCATGAAAGGTCAGTGAAAAGTATCACTATCCCTACAATTTTCAGGGTTGATATTGAGAGAAGAATGCTATGAACTAAGTGATGACCCACTGGTTTGAAGAGCCAATGTAAAGTGTAAATACTTCATGAGCGGGTGCCAAGGTATTGTCAATACTTGTGTCTTGTACATGGCCGAACAGGAATCCTGCCTTCTCCCAAGAGAATACATTGGAGTAGGGTAAAGATGGACAGAGAGGAGAATGGAAAGAAATACATTTAGTGCAAACAAGAACAGCAGCAAACAGGTTGTAAAACAGTTAAAATGAGTGTACAGTTGAAATAACCACATGGAGTCAGTAAGGGCTCTCAATTTCCAAGGGGTGCAAAGTATCTGAAGGATAATCTGGAAAAAGGCTTTGCTGTACCTTAAAGAATCTACAAAATATCACTTTAAGACTAGGGCTACATTAAAGCTCTCTGCTATTGAGCAACTTGTTAGAAGTCACTACATTTGCAGCACACTGCAATCAATGTGATTCTAAGGCTGGGCACTGTGGGCACACACCTTACAACCATTGCAAGACTTCTGTCTTGCGATGGTTGTAAGGTACTTAAAAAAACGTACGATCTGCCTATGTTGCATAGGCAGATCGTACTTGCGATGATCGCAAGCCATGCCCCCTGAGGGGCGGGCTTCCGATGACCGCAATG